CCTTTTATTTCTGAAGAAGGGGGCCCTGAAAAAATTCAGTAAGAAATTACATGAATATATGTGCTTGTGAACATTTGAATAATGTAGAATCTTACAGTTAAGTTATCCTTTTACCCACACTGCTGGTTCCTCTCTTCCCCATCCCACTCCTCTTCCCACACAGAATTTATGGAATTTGACTTTAGTGCCATAAATAACAAGAGGGGAATATATCTGTACTTTTTCTTTTATGTCAATCAGTGATAAACTTGCAATGCCAACTCAAGGGTCTTACTAGGTAACTTGAGTATTCTGGGTGTATTTGAGGAGCTGAACCTCTCTCTATGTCAGGTTTTCTGTTTGCAAATTAAGTGTAATTTACCTAAGCCAAGATTAATTACCAGCATTTATTAATGATAGTAAAGGGTCCTAAAGTCTTGAGGGAAACGTACATCAAATCCTAATTTACCCTGGATCTTATACACTGAACAGTCCCTTAGTCTTTTTTAATGTAGAGAATGAGAGTTTCAAAAATCTTTAATTAGGATGGGTAGGGTTTAATTAATTTGGATTTTAAAAAGATTGAGTTGTTGAAATCTTATTCCTTTTTGGGCTTTTTTTTTTTAAAGATTTTATTTATGTGGGGCTCAATCCCAGAACCCTGGGATCATGACCTGAACCGAAGGCAGACGCTTAAGGACTGAGCCACCAGGCGGCCTGTGAAAAGCTCTAAAATTCTAACTAAAGGGAGGCTAGGCGGGGGAGAAGCTGCCAGCTTCATACCATGGTAAAGAGGTGGGACAGTAAGGACGGGTTTTCCTAATATCTTCATTTCTAATTTTAAATTCAGAGGTGATTGGAGAACGCAAAGCCTGTGGGAGACTCGGGGATTTTTCAGAGAAGCAACTTAGCTGTCAAGCCTCCCATGATGTTGAGTTGTGGGGTGGGGGGGAGCATAATTCAAAGGGGGGATGTTAAGGGCAAGATGACTGAAACCCACCTGAGCACTGTCCGGCGGCCGGAGGCATTCACTCTCCCCCAGACAGTTAGCCGGTCCCGGAGACAGTGTCCTGCTGGGATGAGACGGAGCCCTGAGACCCTGCACTGCGTCCCAGCCACTGAGCCAGGCACAGCTGCCTCTCCTGTCACCCTCCTGCTGCAGGGTCATCCTCAGCCTGAATATCCGACAAGCTTGGTCACACTTCTTCTTGTTTACATTACCAGCTCTGGGCTTCAGTTCACCACACCCTCCACACTCAGCTGGGAGCTTCCTTCAGCAGGAACACCCTGACAGTCCCCAGGGCTTCTTGGCGCCCCTCCCGAAACCACTGTGGGGATCTGTGCTAGCAGAGGGCGTCTCGGTGCGGGCCAAAACCACCTCATGACAGATGCCTGCTGCAAAGGCCCCCTGACCTTGCCACGAGCGCCACGTGGCCCCTGGCACCGCCTGGATCAGGGCCGGCCCCTGAGTCTTGGGTAGAGGGTGGAGGATGGGGATGAGGCCAAGGAGGAGCCAGGGCCAAGTGAGAGAGGTTTCGGAATGTGGCAGAAATATGTTAATAAATGCACAAGTGTCTGCGTAACTGCATGTTGCTAAGCCTGTGGTGTAATGTTCTGTGCTCATTTTTAGCACAGGAAGGGACTAAACATCTATGGAGTGTTGTCCCTGTGTTGCAGGCGCTGGGCAGGGCAGAATCCAGCCGAGCGAGATAATGTGTTCAAGTGTGTAGCCCAGTGCCTGGCACGTAGAAAGTCACTCAGTCATAGCTCTGATGATTTGGGGTGCCTTTTGCATTGAGTCCTCCCAGCCACATCGTCAGATACTCCTTATGGTACAGATGGGAAACAGGCTCACACAGGTTCGCTAGAACTCCTCTCACGTGTCCCTCCTGGTCGATAGGCCAGAGAGGAAGGTGGATTTGCACATGATTCGCCTGACCCCAGAACAGTTCCTTCTGCTGCACCCCCACTGCATCCCTTTGAGGAAGGAAGGGCAAAGGTTCTCAAAACCCCACCTCGCACTGCGCGGCCTTCCTCCCAGCCTTTTCATCACTCCTGCTGCAGAGCAGAGCACCGGCGTGACTGTCGCTGGAGTGATACCGTAATCTTATCAGCATGTTGAAAAATAGGAGCGGAAACAGCCCTTTTTGGTCGTGCGTTCTCAGCTGACAAGCCAGCAGAAGGTTAATTTGTTTTCAGGATTTCTCTGCCCTTCCCCACAAATCACTGATCTGGCGTGTTTGTTCATCTTGCTTTCAACTCACACTTAAAACTTGCAGAGGAAGAAGACAGACCCAGAAATAAAAGCCCTGGGAGGGGGTTCTTTGCCCTGAAAAGTATTCCTGTGGTCAGAGAGGGACAAGGGAGAGGTTGGCATAGGAGCCGGGTGGATGGTGGAAGGGAGCCCCGACGCAGCCCACAAGCCCTTCCTCCGTTGGGGCTGGGGCCCCATCCCTGCATCACTGTCAGGCATAGAGGGCTGGAAGGTGGTAGAAGTTTTCTGTTCTCTCTGGCAGCTGGTTGGTGGCCGCCTCTGACATTTTTATCACCTCATCCCAACCTTCTATGCCAACTCTGCCCCTGGGGGGTGGGGTGGGGAGAATGACCGGGAGGAAGCCCCAGGGTCTTCCCTTGGGGTGAGTCTGTTGGTGGGAAATCTTGCTATTTCCAGGCCATGTGAGTGGAATTAGATGGGATGAAGGAGGTCTGTCTGCCCTTTGGAATGTATGAGTCTTAAGGAGCATGCTGTTTGCTATTAGGACAGAAACTGGGCACAGCCAGGTCGTAATGAGAGTCACTTGGCTCAGCCAACAAAATTATGCCTAACAGTGTGTGATAAATGCTTTTTGATGATGACGAGAATGCACAGTAATTATAGGGTTTGTTCACCTCTCTTTTTTTTACCTCCTTACCACTGTGAAGGTACCATAATCCTTCTTAATGAACGCAAGTCTCATTTTGAAATGGAATTAAGAACTGTATACACGGCGTTTAAATTAAATACTGTCTTTCCATCACCATTCTCTTGAACTCCATAAACATTTCTAGCTCTTTATGTAAGTGAAGGAGATTAATCATTGTTCAGTTACAGTTGAGCACATGTTTAATGGAAATACCTACCAAGTTTATTTAGCATGACCTATTCTATATGCTTTAGTCAGAAAACTGTGCTGTTATTTTCAGAAGCTTTGCACATGCTGCAGAGATGGTCTTCTAAAAGGCTACAACCTCACTCTGCCCCTTTCCATATATAGTGAATTGCTAAACTCTAGTTCAGAAGGGATCAGGATTCATCCTATGGTTTTCTCTGTTCAGCAGCCAAGGCACCGATTTGGGTTTAGCTAAACCAAAAATTCCATCTGCCCTTAAATTGAGTATGACTAAAAATAGTAAATTCAGTTTAGGGCCCTAGAGGTAGGGGAAGTAATGCAATTCTATAAATGGCTGCTTTCTGCCCATTTAAAAAAAAATGTAGTCTTAAGCATCAGACTTAAGTCTTGGGTATGCATCTGCACTGTGACATTTTGTATTTTCAGGTAGTTGATATAGATACTTCGGATCTTTGCAAATATTCCCTCCTCTGTTTTTGAACTATCATTTCCTATTTTCAAGACACTGAAAAGTCATGCTATTTTTATGGGCACCCGCCATAATCCTGGGGATGGAAGAGAGTAAGCTTTATAAAGGTAATGAAAGATGGTAAGTGCTCATTGGCAAGAGTTAGCTGCAGAGGTAGGCTGTCTACTCGTAGTCCCAAGGTTCGATTTACCATAAAGTGTTTTAGTTGGAAGACGCTCTATGCCAGTGGATGTAGAAAAGTTTCTGCCATTGGGCCAGTCCAGTTCTCTGTGTGAGGGAGGCACTGATTTGCTCTGATGCAGTTTGAGAACTTTGTCTTTGCTTCCATCCCCACCTACTAGCTGTTTGGCTATATTCCTGTGTCAGAACTCTTTCATTTCTCTTGGCTACGGTTGAAGGAGTAACTTTTAGTTGAGTTTAATTTTTTACAAGAGTAATACATGTTCATTGTAAACATTTTAGGAAATAAAAATGAGCAGCAGAAGAAAATAATAGTCCCTGTAATCCTATCACCTCGTGCGGGTGGGGCCTTCTAGTCTTTTTCCCCACACCTGTGGTGTGTGCATGGAGGGTGGGCCGGGGAAGGGGGGGGCGGGTATAGTGGACGCTTCTTTTAAAATTTCTAGGAATGGGATCTGACCATACATCCTGTTTTATTACCTGATCTTTTTCATAGGGGGAGGTCTTGACATTGACCCATCAGCTGCTTGAGCCATTTTCCTTTTTCTCTGCCGCTGGAGAGAGCCAATGTGTCCACGCCTCAGCACACAGTAGCCCCTTGCTGTAAGGCTATTCTGTGTGGAGGGGGACTTGGCCAGAGAAAGGTCTGTTAGCCCTCCCCCAGTCTGAGAACTTTATGTCCAAACTACCCAAAATATTAAGATTTTTTTCATTAGGGACCTAGAGGACCATGTTATAATGACGACCCAGTGTCCTCTTTCTTCTCCCAGTGATCTCCCTTCCAGATTATAACTTACAGAAAATTCTCATCCTTAGAACCGACCCTTTGGTAACCTCCCTGAGGAGTCCTGTGGCTCCAGTTCTCTGGTTTGATGGAGGTTATTTATACCCACACACATGACACAGCTCTTCTCCCTCTCATTTGTTTGGTTTTTCTTCTTTCAAAAAACATAGTAGATGCGATGATTTCCTTCTCTGTCTTTTCTTGGGTCTACATTTTTATTAATTTGAATTTGGCACTGGAATCTTACTTTCTTACAGGGATTCTAAGAGGACATTTAAAATAATGTTACATTTTAATCACAAGTTATTTTTTTTCTCTACCCTCTTTTCTGTTTGGCTTTTAGATAAAGAAATTGAAAACATTTAGTGGAGATGTGTCCAAGCTGTCCCTGGCAGACTCCTTTCTACACTACTTGATTCAGGTGCCAAAGTAAGGATCGTCCATCACAGCTCTTTACAGAGGAAAGTTTTAAAATCAGTGACCTCAAACGCTACAGTTTTACTTTTTATTTTTCAGCTATTCACTTCGGATTGAAGCCATGGTGCTAAAGAAGGAATTTTTACCTTCTTGTTCTTCTCTGTACACAGACATAACAATTCTGAGAACTGCTACAAAAGGTAAGTGAACACATGATGCTTCATGGAATTTGTTTTTATTAACCTTAGTGGTAGCACTTTAATTTTTATTCTTTTTTGTAAGCATTCTTCTCCTGATTTTTGAAATTAATTTATTTTTTAATTCCAGTATAGTTAACACACAGAGTTATCTTAGTCTCAGGTGTACAATATAGTGACTCAACAGTTTGACCCAGCACTCAGTGCTCATCAAGGGAAGTGCGCTCTTCATCCCCATCACCTGTTTCCCCCAGCCTCCCACCCACCTCGCCTCTGGTAACCACCAGTTTGTTCTCTGGAGTTAAGCCTGGTTTTTTGTCTGTCTCTTTTTTTCTGTGTTTTTGTTTCTTAAAGTCCACATAGGAGCAAAATCATATAGAATTTGTCTTTCTCTGACTGACTTATTTCACTTAGCATTATACCGTCTAGATCCATCCATATTGCTGCAAATGGCAAGATTTCATTCTTTTTTATGGCTGAATATTGTTCCATTGTGTATCTACACCACATCTTCTTTATCCATCCATCTATTGATGGACACTTGGGTTGCTTCCATATTTTGGCTACTGTAAATAATGCCCCAATAAACATAGGGGTGCATGTATCCCCTTGAGTTAGTGTTTTCATATATTTTGAGTAAATACCCAGTAATGGAATTACTGGATCATGTGGTAATTCTATTTTTAATTTTTTGAGAAACTGTTTTCCATAGTGGCTGTACTAGTTTGGTAGCAGTTTCTTAAAAAAAAAAAACACAAAAGTATTCAATTGAAATGAGAAATGCAAAGTCCTAAATCTGATGCACCCTAAAAAGGGAAAAGAGATATTACCCAGGATGACAATTAAGGCTTATTTCCATTTACTTTCCTCCTTAATTAATCGATTAATTGACCAATTCATTAGTTAGTATATTATCTTCCCATAAAAGAAGATTTCTTTCATCCCAAGCTTCAGAGTAGACCTTGCTGGTTGCAGCTCGCTCTTGCTCCTCTCCTAGGTCAGCTTTCCGGATGCATGCAGTGTGTGTAGTATCTGTGTGTGTGTGTGCGTGCGTGTGTGCATGCGCACGCTCAAAACCTGGGCACTTAGGCCAGCTGCATCCTTCCTCCATCCTCTGGCCTCTGGTGTCCAGGGCCTGCTTTTCCAGCACCGTCCCTCCTTCCTCCTGACTCTTCCTGGGCATCTTCAGTGTGACCTTCTGCAGGTTCCTGATGGTTCTGCTCTGTGTCTTCTCCCACTTGCTTCCCCTCAAGACTCTAATTCCTGGTGGGCTGTTTACATTTGAGAGGGGCGAGTGGGTCATCTCCATTTCTTTGAATGACTTGCTTGCCTCCTCAGAGTTGCTCTCCTGTCTCCTTCCATAGTGCTGGAGTTTTATCCTCAGGCGTTTCGGACGCTGAGCAAGCAGGCCTAGCACACTTGTGGGCGCTCCTCATCGCCAAGGCAGAGTCTCTGGCGTTCCCCAACCCTCACATTTTCCAGGGTTTTCAGCGCCAGCCTGATTTCCTCTGGGTGGTTTTCTGGATTTCTAGTTATTGCAGAGCTGTTGATTCGTATTTGATTTTCCTGTTTAGTTGCTCTGGCCCGTGTTGAGACAAAGTTTTGCTCTTCAGCCCATCGTATTTTCTTCAGTTTAGAGAGGAGACTAAGAATTAAGGGCAATTTTTCTTCTTTCAGTAGGGAGGCCTTTTAACATTTCTTCCTACACACACCAGGGCTATTGCAGCAGCTTTGGAAGGGCCATCCCTCCTGTTCACGTTGAGATGGAATAGTTTTTGTATTGAGCCATGCAAATTCATGGGCATGGTGGAAACGTTTCTTATCTGGTTAACCTTCAAATACTGGCCTTCTTAGATAACATAATGCAGGCAGTGATCCAAATGTAATTTTTTGAAAGTAATACCACACTTAATGGAGAATATGAACTTAAAAAAATCGTGGGTAGCTTTTTATTATCTATATATACTATAATTTTAATAATCATCAAAATTCACTTTTAGCTTTTGAAATACATTAACAATTTTTAACATTGTTAATTTGCATAGATGTGTGTACAAGAGCTTCTATGTCTAAAGAACTAGTTTAAAAATATATTACAATGATAAGCTCCTTTACAACCTTTAAGCCAATCCAAATGAAATGTATAGTTTTGAATAAAATGGACAGAGTCTCTGGGTTCCTGGCCCCTAAGGGTTAGTGCTTTGCAAGTTATTTACATGTCCTCCCAGCCTGTTTATTTTTTATCTCCTCATGGCTCGTGGACTAAGCAAAATGTTGCTCTCTGTTAGTTTTCATATTCTATAAATATAATCTCAAAGGCTAGTGGAGATAGAGGAAAAAAAATAAAGAATGGCTGACAAAAAGCTTGCTCCTCTAACACAGTGTGCTGCTTTTCATAAGGCCTTTGCATTTTCCACTCCTTGAAAATTTTCCTTATTGAAGTATTTTGTGATATATTGAAGCATCATACATATTGATTCCCAGTTAAACACTAGGACACAGATTGCCCGTAGCAAATGGCGCATTAGATATACCACAGAATGTGCTGCTTGATTTGTTTTTTCCTGTCTTAATATGGGGTTTAAGGTCAGAGCTTGCTTCAGGCCCTCTTGAACTCAGATGTGGCAGCTGTCTTTGTGCCTTTACGCTGAAGGTACCATGGTGTGTTCTTTTTTGACAGAGCTGATGTTGTGTGAGGAGCTACATTCAATATTACACTTGGTGCTACAGGCGGGGAATATCATGAATGCAGTAAGTAAAATTCAAAAAAATTATAATGTTGTGTTTCTAAGTTTATTTGTCCGTCCAAAGGTATATGTATATATTTTTTCTTTTGATTTGTCTTCTTTAGGGAGGGTATGCTGGCAATGCAGTAGGATTTAAACTGTCTTCTTTGCTCAAATTGGCAGACACAAAAGCAAACAAACCTGGGATGAATCTTCTGCACTTTGTTGCACAGGTAGGTGGAAGTGGTGAATTCAGAGAGAGAGAGAATGAGCGTGAATCCTCCCTGGAGGCGGGGAGGTTTTTCCCAGGTATTATTAGGTGGCATCACACAGAGATAGGAAAGGACATGGTGGGCTCCAAGAAGGTTCTATTTGCAGAAGCACTCTGCAGATTCCTGAGCTGAGCTGAGCTGCGCCTAGGGTTGTAGGATAAGAGGGAAGTGGAGGGGTTGGGGGAGGCAGGGGTCAGGGTTGGTGAAGCCCGGTTAGGAAGGATCCACATCCTAAACACTGAGGAATTTGGATTCATGCTTTAGCAATGGGGAGCCAACGGAAGTTTGTGCACAGCAAAATGGCCTGACCAGGGTGGCTTTGTTTTTAGGAAAATAAGGCAACATGGAGGATGAGCTGGAGTGAAGAGAGAACTAGAAATGGGGCACCTCTTGGCAGAAGTTGGCTCTCTGATCGTTTGGCGAGAGCTGAGAATCAAGAGTCATGGCCACAGGGATGGAGAGCAGAGGCCTGGGTGCTGAAACATTCCCAGCGTTGGGTTGACTAGATTTGTGACTGGTTATGTGTAGAGTGAGGGAGCCAGGGCAATGAAAAAAATCACTTCCATTTGTTTCCCTTTGTGAACTGTAAGTCAGGGTGCCTTGCCACAAACACAGGCCTTGGGGTCTGCACCCTGTTCATCACCTCCGTTTCTGACTGGGGCTTTGGGATACCAAAACAACCAGTTACAAAATGAAAAATCAGCCAAGGACAGTTGTCTGTTGTTAAATTATCTCAAATTATGGATTGTAGCACTTTGTTTTCTCTTCACTGGATCACATTTGTTGTTTTGACAGCAATCACATAGACGTAGCTCTAAGCTGGGGAGGAAGCTGGGTTGGTTTCCATTGTGAGCTTCAGAACAGGACAGAACTGGGATTTTGACATGTCCTTTATTAGCTGTACTTCCTCAGACAAGTTACTTAAATGTTAAGACCCTCAATTTCTTCCTCTAATCACGGGGCTAGTGATCCTTTAAAACAGGTACCCAAGAGGGCTGACGGGGATAATTCCATAAAGTGCTTACTTCAGTGTTTGGCCCATAGTAAGCTCTCCATAAATAACACACACAGTTATTACTACATTCTTCAGAAGACAAAGGATATGTTGAACTCAGGACTCACTTAAAATTTAATTTTCAGGGCACTGAAACCAGAAAATGTGTTCCTTATCCCATGTGCCTTACAGCTAGTCTTCCAGCAGTCCCTTTAGATCCATGGAGCCAGGTGCTCTGTGTAACTTGGTTCCAGCCCATGGGGGGGACGTTTCCAGAGTTGGTAATTGCACCCTTCATATCCACCCTCCTTGTATCCCCTGAACAGGTGAAGAATCCAAATGCCTCTATGGCTTTTGCACCTTCTGATTAAACTCAGTTTGCAAACTGGTTTAACAGCTGAAGGCATCTCGGTCATTTAAAGGCATACTCGTAGGAATGGGTGGTATTTAAGCAGGATATATTGGATTCTCTCAGAAACAATGGGCCCTGCTAAGCCACCACCCACTTCCATTGAGTTTGTGTGCCCATGAATTGTATTTCACATCAGGATCGGTTGCTCTGGGAAGTTATATATATCTTGAGAGTAGGGGAGTTCTGGTAAATCTTACTAAGAATATAAGAGTTCATGTTTTAGTGAATTGCTTTGAATATATCAAGCATAAAAACAAGAACTTTAAGGTTCCTTTCAGCCTTGGGATAATTGTTTCCTTCCAGTTTTATACATACAGTAGAGAAAATTCTGTTTTTATTCTAGGAAGCCCAAAAGAAAGATGCCATTCTTCTAAACTTTTCTGAAAAATTGCATCACGTTCAGGAGGCTGCTAGGTGAGCAAAGAAGACTGAAAGTGAATTCTGAGAATTCAGTTTTGTTTTTTTTTTCAATTACTTTTTAGATTTATTTATTTATTTGAAAGAGAGAGGGCACGAGCAGGGGATAGGGGGAGAGGGAGAAGCAGACCAGGGAGCCAGATGTGGGGCTCGATCCCAGGACTCTGAGATCATGACCTGAGCTGGAGGCAGACGTATAACCAACTGAGCCTCCCAGGCACCCCTAAACTACTTTTAATGAAACTGGTGAATATTTTATAACTTTTAGAAAGTTTTGTCCTGTTGAATTTTCAGACCTTCCTTTTATTTGCTTACAGACGTGTGTGTGTGTACCTTTGGAATTTGGGGGTTTTGAAAAATTAGTCTTTATTTTTAATCTAAAAAACTCTATTGCAGTCTTTTCTAATGAATATCATCAGTGTAAAAACAATATGGATTAAGAACTTCAAATCCCTCCACACCCAAAAGATAGAGCTCAAACAACACAGCTTATTACCTTGGGAGTTGGTATATATCAGTCAAACTTCCAGGGCCATTTCCTTGTAGAATCTAACATGTTACATTTATTTTCTATTGCAGTAGAAGAAGGTGGAACCATACCAAGGGTTGTGAAAGGATTTTGTTTTAAGTTAGTCACTCAACTTACAGAGAAAGTATCTACCAAACATAAAGCTGTGTTTATATCACTTTAATTTGCTTCTGATCCCAGTATAGATGTGCATTTTAATGTGGCTATAATCTGTATACGCGAGCTATTTTGAGTTCCATGTTTTTTAAGTTTACAGTACATATCCACGTATCCAGTGGTATATGTTCAATAACTGGCTTCCCTGGAAAGAGGTCCTGATTTGTAGCATTTGCTGATCTCCATGGTGTAAATACTGCTCCCGTGGCAGGTGGCCTCCCTGAGGGAGCAGTTGGGAGGGGTGCCCACACCCACGGTGGCCTCTTGCAGGCTGGCTCCAGTGAACCACTTCAAGTCCTACACTTGCTATCTGAGTGATTATATCTGATTAGGATGGGTATGAACCCTGTGCATAAATACATGAACCAAAGCTTTTCAAGCCAAACCCTGTCACTGGCCAGTGTCTCAGTATTATTGACTGTGAACATCTAACCACAGATTACATGTCTTCCCCAAAGTGAGCTTATAAGGCCGAAGCTGTGAACAGTTCATAGTTCCCATTTACAGATTTTTGGATTATTCCCCCCAAACAATGAGCATCTTATAAGATATAAACTGTTCTGGTTTTGAATTTCTAAAAGAAATTCGTGTGGGAATATTTTTTCCTCTGACTAGTATAGAAATGTTACTAAGAGGTATGTATAGAGAGAAATAACCATTACGTTTTTGAGTTGACATTTGCAGTCAGAATCAGCTGGGGAAGTTTAGCTAGATACTGTCTTCGAAAATAAAGTTTGTTTATTTGAGATGGAAGGTGAAGTGTCCTGTGAAGTACAAACATCACAGATGGGTGCCAACAACCAATGAAGGTGGAAGACTTCACTGCATAAAGAAATGTCAGAATTCACAGTGGACGCATGAAAGCATCCTAGCATATGAGTTTGCTAAGTGAATTCCACCTGGATTTTAGGTTTCACCTACTCACTCTACCTAGTGACAGAAGTATCACTCCTGCTCTCCTAATCTTGATTTGACATATGTAACAAAAGCCTTGCAAACAGCCCCGCCATTTCTTTGCAGAATTGTTAGCCATGTGTTAGTTCTCTCTACCATACCGAGGGCTTACTCTGGCTGTCCGTGGCAACACGAGGTCTGCTTAGTGTCTCCTCATTGCCCTGCCTGGCTTTGCTTGAGTTAGAGCTTTTATATTTGTGCCGGAGGAGAGGGGAAATATCTGAGGCCTTTTGGCTTTTATTTTGTAATGCTTCTTGCATAAAGGTGTTCAGACCCACTTTATGAACAGCTTTACAATTCTCATGGGTTCGTTATCTCACCAATAAGGACAAAGGTACACAGCCATCTCTCTTTAAACCAGTGTGTCTCTAGGAAGACATGGACTCTTAAAAAAACGGGCGGAAACTCTAAGTGTGGTAAATGTCATTGCAGAAGCTCTGCCGTCCATGTCTAGGTTTGACCCACAGTTGGTCTTGTTTGATGTACCTCCATGACACATGGCTTCCCTGTACCACATGCCCACTCTCCCCTTTCTGCTTGTAGATTATCTCTGGATAACACGGAGGCAGAACTGCACTCGCTCTTTAACAGGACGAGATCTCTGAGGGAAAACATTCAGCGGGATGGTGAACTTTGTCAGCAGATGGAAGATTTCCTTCAGGTTCGTGGGTGATTGGAGTCCGTCTCTCTCTTTTTGGCTTCCAGCAGCACCTGCCAGGGCTGGTTCAGTCCGCACGGCTTTGGGGAGGTAGCAGGTTCCCACTCATATTCTCCTCCCTGGGTCGATGAAAGGAACTTTGTATTTCAGTGCCCATTCTTTGCGGGGTTGGTTTTCTCGCAGGGGCCGTCGAATGTGGTCCTAACCAAGGGCTGGCCTCCGTTTATCGCCACGGGATTGACATCATCATACCATGCTGTGGCGAACTGGTATCAGCCTAGGGAGCGAACGCTTGGCAGCTTATGCCTGGCTGCTCAGGTTTTGCTTCTCAACCATGGTGTAGGAGTTTCTGCCTCCTAATCAAACCTTTGGATGACAGAACGAAGTTCCACAGAAATCGTAGACACCTGAGAACTCGGGCTGTTGTTTCTTCACTTGTTTTTATTGAAGAAACAAGCTACGTTTTGACATGTTTTATGATGAGAGGGGGAGCACACGAGAGCTGTGCCTATCAACACCCCAAATACATCAGCCCACAGGGTGTGTCAGGTGCTGCTCTGAATAACATCAACAAGAAAACAGCAGAGTGGACATGTTTGTGTCAGCTCACTGTGACTCACTAATCACATAGTCTAACATGCTTATTTTATCTTCCTTATTTGTAAAAAAAAAAAAAACAAAACAGTGGCAGCTTTTCATGCTTTCAATCTTCAGGGGAAGTGGCATGCTACCTTAAATATCAGTGCTTCGAGCCTCGCAAGGTATGGGGGGGTGTGGCGGGGCTGCCCTTGGTGCCAGGAACAGTGTGCTCCGAAGGTTGTACGTTGACTTGTAATTAAGCTACAGCAAGCAAATATTCTATGTCTCAGCTCCCATCGGCAAACATTTTGTTTGGCTCTGGTGGGAGTTCATTTTTCTGATTAAACATGTGCTCTGTATTTTCTTTCAACTGTAACCAAACAGATATTCTCTTTTACATGCACAGATTTTTCTCAAAGTGAAACAATAAAGCAAACACCACCACAGAAACACCTAGCAGTAGGTAAGAAAGTACTCCGCAGTAAGCACATGCAGACAAATGAGGGAAAGTCAGAAACTGAGGGAGAAGGCCCATCCCACAGTGAGATGAGAATTCTGGATGTCTCCTTCCCTGGCTCTTAAATTAAACATTAATATTTTATGCTATACATAGCAGTGCAGAAAGGCGTATGATGAAAAACAGCTCTGTCTCAGCTGTACCCCTGGACTGCTCTTTCAAGGAGACCTTGTTTTAACTCTAAATGCTTCTTTCTAGTAGTCATTTTTATCTGTGTAAATAAAATGTTCCCACACAGCTATTTATTTTTCTTTTTTATATTCAATTTCTTTTTAAATAGCGGAGGGGGTGTAATTCTGTAACGTAGGGTAGGGCCAGGCCATGAAGGGTTTTGAATGCCAATCTGAAAACATGGGACTGTGCTCTTAGCCATGGGGAGAGATTGAAGTTGTTTGAGGAGAAAAAAGACAAGAACACAGTTTTGTAAATCCGTTTCAGTATTCTGACCATCTGGGCAAGAAATAACGAATAAATTGGTTTGGAACTTGGGTCTGGAGCAGGCAGGTGAGACGTGAAAAGTTGAATTTGCTAGCACAACTGCTCATGTCTTGTCAATTATACTCGGCCAGGGTAGCTTTGGACTTTGTCATTTGGGGTCCTAACTGTGCAGAAAACTAACTCTTGGCAAAGAAAAACCCTCTGAGCTGGGTGATTTTCCACACCCATATTCAGAATGTTTCACTTTCTGGAGTCCTCAGGATGACTGCAGTGCGTGTAAGTTTTTCCTTCCTGGTTCTGTCTCCATCCCCACGGGATCTAGTGATGAGACAAGGGAGGCGGGGCTAAGCTCCCATGTAGGTTCTTGTCAAGAGTCCTATTTTTCTGCAGTTGAGTTATTTTTGGCTGGAATCCACCTTTCCCCTGTGGAAGAATGACAGGCAAACATTTATCCTTTCATGAATACCCTTCTCCCCATAAAGAATAATAGAGCATGAATGCACACGGTGCCTTGGGCTACTGACTCAGATGGTTACTTTCTCTGGTATTCGGTTTCCTAAATGGTTTTGGTTTCTTACTACCTCTTGAATATGTTTGGTGTAAGAAAAGGACTTTTAAGGGGGTAAGTGTGTTAGAGTGCGTGGGAGGTGATGAGTCTTCTCAGAATTGCTCTTCACTCTCCAGGCATGTCTTAGCAGCAATTCCACTCCTTGAGGGTGCGCAACCCATAACGTCACATTTCCAAGGCCTGTCCCTCCACTCAAAGGAAGTTTCTCAAATGTAAGCCTTTTTAAAAACATGATATGTGTGATTTATCAAGTAATGTACTTCATGCATTCCTTCTTCATATGAATAAGCCTTGTTACCCAGTGAAACAGGAAGTGACGTGAGACTTGAGAGTGATCCCAAATATTTAGTCCCCTTGGGGTTGTGACTCCTCTAAGCTGCTGCCCCCTCATTTCAGCTCAACAGTAAACGTCATGCAGTGCTGTCAGGGCAGGGTGCTTCTGCGCCTGATAGATCCCCAGCCTGAAAGGGTTGGGAGCTCACCGGAGGAGAGCAGTCTTCTTTCACTTCTACTTCTTTGTTGTGGTGGTACCCAAATCTATTTTTTTTTAAGATTTTATTTATTTGAGAGAGAGGAGAGAAAGAGAGCATGAGCAGGGGGAGGAACAGAGGGAGAGGGAGAAGTAGGCTCCCCGCTAAGCAGGGAGCCCCATGCAGGGCTCCATCCCAGGACCCTGGGATCATGACCTGAGCCGAAGGCAGACGCTTAACCAACTGAGCCACCCAGGTGCCCCAATGCCTGAATCTATAGAGGCACTGGAGAGTTTGTCGTGGAAGGATTAGGAGAAAGTGAAGAAGATGGGCTTGTATAGGGCAGTCGTTATTAACCATGGGGGCTCCTCAGAATCTCCTGGGGGGTTGTAACAAAATATTAGTGGTAGTTGCACCTCAGACGTACTGAAGTGCGTGGGTGATGTCCAAGCACGGACTGTAGACAGTGCTTCCTAGCTGACTTGGCTAAGCACCCTGGTTAAGAAGCCTTGGCTGGGGTGTTTGTCTGGGCACCGGGGTTTCCGTCCTGTGGGGGTGACACTGACCCTGATACAGCTCATTTGAGATGAGGTTTAAACTCCCTCTCAACAGCACAGCTCGTCAGTACAAGGGACTTCTGACATCCTGAAGTGAACCCTTGGCCAGTATAAGACTCACTTTTAAGAGAAGGAAGAACAGATGCAGAGTGAGTTTTCCTCAATAAAACCAACTTTACACCTGTGTCATTTTTCAGTGACATTGAAGGTGACCGTTGTGTCAGTGGCCTTCTGCAGATTAAAGCTCTCTAGTCTCTGGTGGCCTGCACGCCTCCCACAGAAGTTCCTCTTGCTTCCCTGGGGCTTTGTTTGGGTTGAAATATTTGCCTTTTGGCTCTGAGCGCGTTGGACTTGCCGTCACCCTTCCCCTTTCCCGAGACCTGAAGTTGAACCCGGGAGCACAGACGGCGTGCAGAGCGCCTCCTCAGCTGCCTGTTGCCTTCAGCGTGTGCTTGTGTGTTCTCCCGCAGTTTGCTGTGGAAAAGCTGACAGAACTGGAGCGCTGGAAACAAGAGCTCCAGGACGAGGCCCACACCCTTATAGATTTTTTCTGCGAAGACAAAGAAACCATGAAACTGGACGAGTGCCTTCAGATATTTAGAGACTTCTGTATCAAATTCAACAAAGCCGTTCAGGTATGGCTGATGGCATCTCCGGGTTTTCTGAGTGGTGTGGCTTTTTCTGTTTTCCTCGTCCAGACCCAGCCCTCTGCCCTTGGCAGCAAGATGGTTCAGTGTCTGCACGGTTTCAGGGAAGCGTAGCGCAGGCAGCATTGCCAGGCTCTCGGTGGGGATTCCGCGGGCCGGGGCTCTGCCGTCCCAGCCCCGAGCGCCTCCCCGTGCCCGGGGGGCCTAGCCCTGGCCGCCTCAGCTGCTGTGCTGCCCACACCCACACTTGTTCCACACCCTGCAGCGCTCTGTTAGGCAGGTTTACTTATGACGGCAGCCATGATATTAACGAATCTCTTTGACGGTCCTGAATGTCTCCCCCCCACCCCCCACCCCAGGAAAGAATTTCCTCTTTCGGGGAACGCTTTGTTGCTGTGGGATGATTGCAAGGCCTTCTCTCGCCTGTTTCAAGCACCATGGCCATGGCCAGGCGGTTGGCACCACGGGGACCGTGTCATCCTCGGCCAGAGCCGGCTTCGAAATTCTCAAGTAGTTAGGAGTCCGCTGCTGTCTGAGCGATACAGCGGCGTTTCCCGCCCTTCAACCTCCAGTTCCAGCCATCTCTGAGTTCAGTGTGGGAGCCAGAGAGCTCTGGGTCGCTTGGCTTTGCAAGTCCGACTCTCATCTGTCAATGAAAAACGAAACAACATCCCTTCACTTCAGGTGGTGACGAGGAACTAAATACTTGTGCGTGATCCCTCTCCCTGTATTTAAAAGCAGGTTTGCCCATAGCTCAATTTCTCTGAGGGACTGGTCAGGTTTCCCTCCGGCCCTGAGGAGGCCAGAGTGACTGGAGTTCTCAACCCCTCTTTTCTCTCTCCAGCTAAGAGAAGGAGGCTAAGCCTGCGGCCACGTTTCCTCTCCCTTGTCCAAGCGGTGAGCTCAGCAGTGGGAGGTGGTGGTGGGTGGTAGAGGCCAAATTGGCTCTTTCCGAGGCTCTCACTCCCTGTCAGAATTCTGCAGGCCCAAGAGGCCACCTGTGTGATTGTCTCGGCCCAGCTGTCCCGAGCGCCAGGAGCTGGCCCCACCCCCACCCCAGGCAGCCTTGGAAGAGAGGGCCCGGGGGACCTGGGACACTGGCGAGGCCAGGCCAGAGCAGAAGGAGGGGCCACGCGTCCCCAGCCAGAGTCTCACAGAAACTTGGAAGGGAAATCCACCATTTGAGGAAATTGACTTTCGAATAAAAAGTGCTATCAATAACAGATTAGGGTTGTGAGATCCACACATTTAGATGACACAAATATATATGTTTTTTAAAAGATTTTTTATTAGAGTGTGCGCACGCGTGCGCGCGCGCAAGAGCACGCATGCGCAGGAGTGGGGGGGAGGGGCAGAGGGAGAAGCGGATTACCCCCTAGCTGAGCAGGGAGCCTGATGTGGGACTCGATCCCAGAACCCGGAGATTACGACCTGGGCCGAAGGCAGACGCATAACTGACTGAGCCACCCAGGCGTCCCACAAATATATGTATATTTAAAGTGCACAGCCAGGTGGTAAAGTGTGTTTTAGTATGTGCGTTTGTTCTGGTTTGGTTTTGTTGGGGGAGGGCTGGGTACTTGGAGCAGGGTGAGGGGTGGTGGAAGGATTTGTAAAGCAAATCCTCTTGTCTCATTGTGGGAAGGGGGTGGGGCATGAGGGACCGAGACACCATGGCATCTCTGGTGTTTCCTTACCAGGGAGCATTAGAAAACAGAGATTTGACTGGCATCTCTTAATATCTTGAGTATATATTTATGCACCCAAATGGTTAAGTAGAATGTGCTGCATGTGTGTGCACATGTGTAGATGTATTCAGTACAGATGCAACAGGGAGGTATGATCTCAGGGTCCTCCTCTTTTTTTTCTCTCTGCCATTGACTAAATAGCCTTTTCCTGGAAGTCCTGTCTATCTTGCCCTGCTCAGAAGGCAAGCTGGGTTCCCTCGGAGTTGAGGTGGCCAGCATGTGTGGAGTCACAGCCCACACTTAGGGACAGTGCCTTGACCAGAAAGCTGGAAGCTGGTGGAGTCCTTTGCAGGCAGCTTTGGGAGAACTAGCCCTCTCCACACCCTCCTTAACTTGCAAACTCGCAGTATCTCTGAAGCTTAGGACCCAGGCTGTCCTCCGCACCTGTATCTTGGGGTCTTAGGGCAGGTGGCTGTGGAATTGCACGCAGGTCCCATGGGTCTAATGCATCTTGGGGCTTCTCTCCACCCCTCCCTCAGGACAACCACGACCGGGCGGTGCAGGAGCTGAGGCGGCTGCAGAGGCTGAAGGAGCTGGAGCAGAAGCGTCGCTCCCGGGCAGCTGGGGAGCTTGGGGGATTCTGCCGGAGCAGCAGTGAGAATGACGTGGAGCAGCTGACCAAGAAGGGCGTGGAGGACCTGCCGCCCTTCCTGCAGCCCCGGCCTGTCAGCCCTTCCTACCGACCTCCTAACACCCGGCGCTCCCGCCTTTCCCTGGGCGCTTTCGCCGACCGGGAGCTGCTGACCTTCCTGGAGAGTTCCACCGGCAGCCCCGAGGAGCCCAGCAAATTCAACAGCTTGCCCCGGAGCAGCCCGCGGCAGGCCCGGCCCACGCTGGCCTGGATGGAGCCTGGGGACCCGAGAGCCCAGGACCCCAGCCGAGCACATAGACCTCAGGCCTCAGAGGGCCAGGTGGGGGCCTCCGAGCCACCCTCATCTTGGCAGAGCCAGCAGCTCCCGGCCCCCAGGCCTGAGGACCCTATGCCCCCCTTCCCCCGAGTTCGGCGCAGTGGGGTGGGCATCCTCCGAAAGAGGAATAGCGAGCCTGTGGGCTTGGGCCCGGCCCGGTCCCCTCCACTCTCGCCATTGGCTCTGGGGATTAAGGAGCACGAGCTGGTGACAGGGCTGGCTCAGTTCGACCTCCAGGGATCCAAGGGCCCAGAGGAGGCGCCCCGGTTGACCCTGAATAATGACCTCAGCCCCATGGAGCCGGTGTCTCTGGGGGATGGGAGCGTGCAGTCCCTCGGTGCCAGCCACGGCGGCCCGATGCCTGTGGGCACAGGGGCCCGGGGCGGTCTCAGCCCAGCCCTGGAGGGGGACGGGGCTGCCCCTGAGGAACCCAGTGGCAAGGCTCTAGTATCTGTGGGCAGCAGCGACCATGAGAGCAAAGACCCCGGGCCTCTGTTCTACATCTCCGACGCCACCGACTGCTCGCTGACCCTGGACTGCTCGGAGCTGGGGGAGGGGGGCGGGGGGGATGGCTCCCTGTCCTCTGGGGCTGGGGAGACAGGCAGCCAGGTCTCCTCTCACCCCACTTCCAGCCCCCTTGGGGAGGCTTCTGCTCCAGTCTCTGGGAAGAGCCAGCCCTCCTGCAAGGACAGCCTTCCTCGGGACAGACCCGCCAAAGGGAAGGATGCGACAGCACCGAAGAGAAGCGCCCTCAAGGAGGCGTCGCAGGGGGCCTCCAAGCCCGCCACTGTCCGGCGGAGCCAGGGGGCGGCGCCCAAGCCCGTGCGGACCTTGACCGCCTCCGAGAGTGAGAGCATGCGCAAAGTCGTGCCCATCTCCAGAAGCCGGGGCTCGGTGGGCTGGAAGCGGCCCCCTCGGGAGACCCCCAGCGGCACAGACGCGCCGTGGTCGCGCCGGAGCTCCGTGCGGGGGACCTCGGACGTGTCGCCCAAGCAGTCCTCAACGGGGGCTGTGGCGGGGGCCACGGTGGCGGAGGAGCAGAGGCTGGGTAGGGTAAGCGGCGGCTCCGGCAGCGCCAGGTCAGGGAAGGAGCCCCCCCTGCAGCAGAGGGGCTCTCTCAAGAAGCCCAGCGCCAAGCCTCTCAGGAACGTCCCCAGACAGAAGCCCGATGAAAACAAGATCTGCCGCTCCAACTCCCAGGACCCTGAGAGCCCTGAAGAGGAGCCCAAGGCCCCGCCGGCCCCCAGCGTCCCCCGTGTCCCGCCTCCCGTGCCGAGCTTTGCCCGAAACACAGTTGCCTCCTCCTCTCGGTTCACGAGAACAGATTCCTCTCCTGTGGCCAAAGCCCCCGGCATCACTCGGACTGTTTCCCAGCGTCAGCTGAGGCCGAAGGGTGGCCCCGAGGATGCTGCCCCCAAGGACAGCAGCACCCTGCGGCGGGCCAGTAGCGCCCGGACCCCCCAAAAGTGTCCAGAGTCTGCTGGGGCTTCCAGTGCCAACACAGAGGCCCCTGTGAAGGGCCGAGGGGCTGGGGAAAGGGCCTCCCTCAGACTGAAAAACTCCGATCGGACCACGCTAGGGAAAATGCTCGATCCCTTACGGAAGTGAAGTCAGATTGTGAGGACTGACTCCTGTGAAGAAGGGCCAGCTCCGAATGTCTGTTCCGCATAAAGTGGTCCACGGGTGCCCCACTAATGCTCAACGTCACTGAAGGTGCCCGTGCGGAAGGCCTGTGGACTGTCCCCTGCTGAGCTGACAACTACTGTAAAGTCCCAAGTCTGGGCGGATGCCTCCCTCGCACACCCTGGAGGAACCCCCTCCCAAAGCAGAGACCCCACAAAAATGCAGATGTGCAAGCTGACAGTCTTACCTACGGAGTTAAAAAAAACAAAAGAATTTTGGCCAGTTTTTATATGTCAAACTTATTTTTCAATATTACACAAATTAAGTAGTTTGTTCCTTTTGCAGAATGAAATGCCTCCCAGGAAAAGGAGACAAAACCCTTAACCTGAAGACTTTATTTTCCTGTGTTCCCTGGCCTCATGGTTCCACCTGCCCACACACCGGCCATTGCTGGCAACTGGACTTCTGCGCAAGCCCTGGGTGTTCTGTGATTGGCACCGTCTCCTTGAAGGCTCTGCCTCGCTCATCTCTCTCTGCGTGACTTTGGGTGAGGGTTAGCGTGTGGGCAGGAGGGAAGGTGAGATTGGTGGATGGAAATTGGACGCTCTTGTGTGTTCAGGCACAGACGGACAGCAGGCCCTGGCAAAATGCTGCATCTTCCCAAACTTAGAAGTGCCATCTCTTAATGGAAAGGCATCAGGGGTTCTTCAGCTGAGCACATCTTCCCCTTCCGTGTTTGCCCATTTGCGTGTCTGTTGTGAAACAGAGTGAAGGCTGCTATGACTTGGGTTCACTCTAGTTACAGGGAAGAATAAACCCTTCTGTCTCCCAGTCTTCTCCCTCCCTTCTCTCTCTCTGCCTACAGCCAGCCCTTCTCTTGCTAACCCGACTTGGAGCCTGGAGAGTCTGTATATCTGTGTCACTGAGGATACATCTCTTCTTTGGTACAGTGGTCTTTAAATCCCGACAAAAACCAAATCAAGTTTTTAAAAACAGACCAAAGAAACAAAAACAAAAACTCAACCCTGCTTTCAGAAGAATTTATATCATCAGGAAAATTTGGAAAGAATAGGCTTTATTCAAAAGAAAGGAGAAAACACATACTGTTTCTACTCACTGCCCATTTCACGACTTCCTTTTGAGACTAATTAGGAAATGAGGGGGTTCTTGAAACTTTCTTGTTAAAGTTGCTGCCTGCCTTTTTTCACTTTCGGTCACTTACTGAAACCTGAGTGAAACCTTATTTTAGTACCAACAGTGGTAGATGAATTTCAGCAAATCCCCGTGGTTGATGTTACAGTCTTCCTCCTGTAGAATGTTGCCTTCCATCCAAATTAATTGGAAACTCTGAGCTTCCATAAGTCAGCTAAATCAAAACGGTAAACTTTATGGTAAAAGAAGTAAGGCACTTGACCGCAAAACCTCTTATAAAAATGGCCTTGGGTAGATATTTTCTGGGCCCCACAAAGATGGTTATGGGAATCCTGCACTGTTTTTCACCATCTCAAAAAGCCTAAGAAATCATATATTTAACCATGCAGACGACAATGTTGAAAACATAGGGCCTATGGGTGGGTGGAAATGGATGAAAGCGGTCAAAAGTTGGTGGATAATGGGGCGCCTGGGTGGCTCAGTCGGTTAAGCATCTGACTCGTGATTTTGGCTCAGGTCGTGATCTCAGGGTTGTTGGATGGAGCCCTGCGTTGGGCTACACGCTCAGCACAGAGTCTGCTTGGGATTCTTCTCCTCCTCTCCCTCTGCCCCTCCCCCCACTCATGTGCACTCTCTCCCTCCCTAAAATAAATCGATCTTAAAAAAAAAAAGTCTGTGGATAGTGATGAGGTCAGGACCTCCAGGTGGGACCCTGGCAACCAGGGTTCCAGTCCCTGCTCTCGCTGATGCTATGTGACTTTGGCCAATCACTCTCTCTCCCTCGGCCTCTGTTTCCCAATCTTTGGAAGTGGGGGCATGGCCTCAGTGATAGTTTCTAAGAGTCCATCCAGCTCCAAGAGTCCGAGTTATTATAAACAACCAAGGACCCACCTACCCCAGGACCAGCTTCTCCAAACCGACCCCCAGCACCTCCCTAGTAGAGGCCTCCTGTCAAAGGCCTGCTCAAAAGAAAGCACCTTCAGAACTTGCTGTTGCTTTGAAATCTAATAAGCTGAGTTTCTTGAGAAGCAGTGTTTTACTTAGCCCTGTGGACCCTATGTGTATGCATCTGTATGAGCAGGTGATCATTCTATTACCTTTTATCGGTAGTAAGCTTTGAAAAATAATTTAAGTATATAATGGAGAACTGTAAATAAGTTTCTATATAAATTTGTTTAAGATGAACTGAATGTATTTAAAGGTCCATTTATATGTTCTTTTATGTAACATGTAGTTTAATAAAGTTCCTGTTTATGGGAGTTGTGTTTTATCTTCAGCTTACTCTGTTGATGGGTGTGTGTGTGTGTGTGTGTGTGTGAATGTGATCTTGGTGGAAGAATATATAATTTCCTGCACACAAAAGGCCCGGATGCAGGAGGTGCAACAGGTTTGAAATACAGTGGTCTTGTCCTCAGGAGGCTCAAGAGTCAAATTAGGCTGTTGGTGTGTATCTTCTCGGTACTCCGGAAACTGTGTTTAACTGAAGGCCTAGAGAGCAGGCTTTGCGCCAGACGTGTGGGAATGCAAGCATGCATCTGACACGCAGGCCATCGATGGAATGTTCAGCACCTCGTACATGCTCGCGTTATTCCATGTTATGGGCCAAGCTTTGTGTAATCTCTGTGGGGCCAGCAAGTCTGGATCTGCTCCTATGTGCCTCATGCATGTTGGCTCGGGACACTATTGGGAAATCACAGCTCGCTTCTGCGGCTGCCTCAGGAATGAGCAGAGAGGGAGGGAGGAGTGGTTTGATTTGAAATGCAGTGCTGGTGCTTATATGAGAAGAAAGGGGAATTGTTCGGAAGATGCACCTCACACCTCGGGGCTTCATGTCAAGTGTTAGTCCTGGCTACTCTCGCGCTTGATCTGAAGGGGTTTAGACAATGATCCCTGGGTCAGGCACCAACAGGAGAGTAGATGAACAGCACCTGGGTGGCGCAGTTGGTTGAGTGTCCAACGCTTGCTTTCGGCTCAGGTGGTGATCTCTGGGTCGTGAGCCCAAGCCCCTCCTGGGGGCTCTGTGCTCAGCGCAAAGTCTGCTTGAGATTCGCTCTCTCCCTCTCCCTCAATCCCTCCCCCAACTCGTGCTCTCTCTCTCAAATAAATAAATCTTTAAAAAATTTAAAAAAAAAGTAGATGATGTCCTGGTGAGTTGCTGTCTGCCCCGTGGACACTGAGAGCCTGGTTTTGCCTGTTATAAGGTGGTTGGGCCACTGGACCCCTTCCTATAACTTCAACCTGTTATACCAGGCGTTACTGACATCAAAAAAGAAGACTATTTTCACAGTGGATCTCAAGTAGTTTTCTTTTTTTTTTTTTTTTTAAAGATTTTATTTATTTATTTGAGAGAGAGAATGAGAGACAGAGAGCACGAGAGGGAAGAGGGTCAGAGGGAGAAGCAGACCCCTTGCTGAGCAGGGAGCCCGATGCGGGACTCGATCCCAGGACTCCAGGATCATGACCTGAGCTGAAGGCAGTCGCTTAACCAACTGAGCCACCCAGGTGCCCTCAAGTAGTTTTCTTTTACCCTTTTATTTTATGGCTTTCACAAGGAACCTGTGTTCCAGTCCCCCTAAAGACACATGGTGAGTTTAAAGGGACCACAGTTGTTCCAAATTGTTCTTTCAGAATTCTGCTTCTTTATGTATTATGGTGGGAGGTCCAGAATAGTTTGTTGGAACTATCAATTCAGCCCTTCAAGGTGTACAAATTCACCAGCTTCTGCCTCTAAGGGTACAATATCCTACCTCCTCCCATCTGGCGATGATGACATTTTGCAATTTCACAGAATTTTCCATTGAAACTTAAACTTTATTCTCAATTCCTACACTTTTTTTTTTTTTTTTTAGTAAGCTCTATGTCCAGTTTGGGGCTGGATTCACGTTCCAGTACTGCCCCCAGCGAAAAAGTGAGGAGTTGTTTTGTTTTGTTTTGTTTTTTGGTATGTATCTTCAAACACATATAAGCATCAAACATATAAACCAAGTTAGAATAAGGGACTGGCCAAGGGTATGATTGAAGGTGCTTCTCTGTCTGAAGATCCAAATCACACCAACTCCTCAGGATCCTATAAGGCTCTCCTCCTAACCGGGCGCTGGGCTCAGAATACATTTTCTGCATCACTTGCCCAGGAGAAAAGCACCTGCATTTCCTGACAGAGGTTCAGAGAGGGGCCCAACCCAGGGAACAGCCCATCTGGTTACTCACTGAGTCCTGTTTTTGTTTTTTTTTTTAAGATTTTATTTATTTATTTATTTGAGAGAGAAAGAGCACAAGAGAGCCAGGGGAGGAGCAAGAATCTCAAGCAGACTCCACTAGCTGAGCGTGGAGCCCGATGCCAGGCTTGATCTCACAACCCTAAAATCATGACCTGAGTCAAAACCAAGAGTCGGACGCTTTACCAACTGAGCCACCCAGGCATCCAACTCACTAAGTACTTCTTAAAATTATTTGGGATGTGAACACACACAAAAATGGAGGACAGTGGATTGGCGGGGTCACTCTACTCAGCATCTATGGAATAATCTTGCATAGCTTGGACTAAATCTGTGGCAGGGTTGAAAATAACACAGAGCAGGCTCTCTTTGGGTGGGGGGAGTTCATCTGCAAATATCTTCCAGTAAAGTGCCTCATGGCTCACTGGATCACCTCAGTGAAGACAAAAGTGACATTCTTGTAGTTGAAGAAAATGGCTTCTCTGTCTTCCGGGCCACAGCTCTGCAATGAAGCTTTGGCTTCCTGGTGGGTAGGTAGGACAATTGGACCCCACTGCAGGAGAGGTCACAGCCACAGGCAGCGCTCACAGGCCAGTCATTCATGGGCCCTCGACCCAGGGCCCACCAGGACCCTGGCACAACCTGACCATCACCCTGTGGAATGAAGGTGTCTTGGTCTTTCAATGAAGATCTGCTTGAGGTCCGTATTGATGCATTCATGCCAGGCCTTTGGAATCAGGCCTGGAGTTTGCCCCCAGCCTCCTTAGAAACACTCAAGGGCTGAGTCATAGCTGATGATATTCCCTGAGTCTGCTTGCCAATTAGATGATGAGGAGTTGACAATGCACTTTTCCAGAGCAACTGTGTCATGCACTATGGGTAATGCAACTCATGAAAAACCTATTTAACTCATCCATGGGTGGACCATGGCATTGACGTTTCTATACAAGATATCTCACTTGTAGTGGAGTTCCTGCAGGAAAATGAAATGCCAGGGTGCTAGGAACATCCCTCCCCAGTTTTGCGGCAGCAAGCAGAGGTTAAGGCCTAGCAACTTGAGGGCACCAGGAATGTTCACTCTTCACTGCTGCAGAAGAAAAGTCCTCTCCGCTCCGGAGGTCAGACACAGAGGCTCCCATCTCCCAGGTGACTCCAGTAAATGTGAGCCATTTCTGTATTGGAGACTACCTTTTGTTTATTCTTCCCAACAGAGAGCACACGTGTTCAACTTCTGCTTTCAATTTTCCAGGAGGGAGGCTGGATTCAACCACACGCCCTTGCCTTCTGATAACCAACGGGAAGGTGGCAGGGATTGTGGGGAGGTCGCCTGTGTGGCTAAGGACAGTGGGTAGCTGGGCAAGTGGGTCATTCAGGGAGGGCCAGATGTTTGCTGCAGGTGGTGAACCCTGCAGTGTCTCCCGACCCCTGAAAGTACCTGAGAGGCCAGTGGCACACAGCCTCCCACAGTGTGGAGTGCTCCAGGGTGCAACAGAATCCCTGGGGCTGGTGGGTGACTCCTGTCCCCACCCTAGACCTATACCAAGTCACAGTCTTTCTGGTGGGGCCCCCAAAGTTGCATTTTAACTCCCCAGGGATCCATTTTTCACCCTGCTGTTGAGAACCAGTGGGCTGGAGAGAAGCCAGAGACTGGGGTCCTGATTAGGGGCCGATGGGCTGTTCCCTGGGTTGGGCCCCTCTCCGAGCCTCTGTCAGGAAATGCAGGTGCTTTTCTCCTGGGCAAGTGATGCAGAAAATGTATTCTGAGCTCAGCGCCCGGTTAGGAGGAGAGCCTTATAGGATGCTGAGGAGTTGATGTGATTTGGATCTTCAGACAGAGAAGCACCTTCAATCATACCCTTCCTTGGCCATTCCTTTGAGTCTGGAGCTCTCAGTGATGCAATATCAGAGCTTCTGGAACAATGGCTCCAGAGGAACATAGGAAGTGACACTTCACTCAAGTCTTGCAATGGCTGCCCTTTAGGAAGATTATAATTCAGTGTCTGTGAAACAATTAGCGAATACATGCTGAATAATACCACACCCATGTGAGTCCCCACAGTGAGATTTTGTCAGCAAACATGCTCTTTGGAATCCTGTTCTTCTTGGGTTCTGGAGCTTTCCACAGCCTTCATGAGTGTCACTTCAGCTCAGCTCTTGGGAGCTGTGCCCAGTGGCCGCAGTTGCTTCTCGCTGTGCGCTAGGGCCGGGCAGGCCAGCGTCTGTGCTGACCTCCCCAGTCAGGAAGGCGGTGGGGGGGCAGCTCTCCAGGGTGCTGACTCAGTGCCGGATGGGAGCCTGGCGCACACGGGCCG